AGCCTGTAGTCGTTGCCTTAGCAGTTCAAAATTCTTTGTCACTTTGCCAAGTCATACAAATCAACAGCTTTTCTATTTGCGGCACAAATCGCCGCATCATTGTCAATGAACATGGCCTATTTGGACACTACATAGCATAAGTATATTCATGGATATGACTGATAATGATTAGTTATTGAAAAATTGCGCGATCATAAATATAGAGCGGTAGTTAGATCAGCAGTTAGATTCCTTACTTTGAATCTCTTATCGAGGCTGGTTGAGCCTAAAAAACGTATAGCAACGAATGTTATCATGAATTCCCAAATGCAGATTTAAAGTCATTTTCTCAGCAGCTGCCATACTCTCAGTGTTTGAAGACTCGATGATTAACCATTAATCTTTTCCTTCTATAATGAAGTGAGGTGGGTATCAGTAGTTGTTTCAAGAACAAAATTCCCAACATTCATATAAATATAAAGTACATTTGTGACTCTTTTTCAAACCGTATCGGACTATAGTTTTTTTTCTCAAAGTCTCAATAAATTTAGAAAATGAAATGCTTCAATTTTATGATTAATTTTGTGGATAAAAAAAGGTTAATAATTCTTAATTACCCTTCTGTAAAAGTAGATTTTTCATTCAATATAAGAAGATATCTCATTTGTCTCATTTTAGAAGCATTAGTATTCAGTTGTGATTTTGATTTATTTAGATAAAGTAGATCAAGTATGAAAAACACCTAAAAGCATGTTACTATACACGATCTGAAGTTCAATTCTAGCCGTCCTCTGTTTCGTTACATTTGAGTAGTTATAGTTTATAAATACAGTAAAGAAAATAAGACATAAACAAATTCAGACATCCAGCTAAGTCCATCCAAACGGATTTCTTCAGAAGAATTCTACCAATGAAACGATAGTTTCCTTTCAAAAAAGTGGCACTAGGTTTTACAAATTTTTAATATCTACTTGTAGCTAAATGCCTTGCTAGCTGAAAGGTTTGTTATGTTAGATGTGAAAATGCATCTTTTATATTCTAAAAGCCCTTCGAACTGAAGAGAGAACGATAATGGTGTTGTAATACTGATGCTGCCCAGTGTAGGTTGGCAACCTCGAGGCATTTAAGCTTTGCGGCAATTAGCTTTAATTCTAAGCCGCTTTTGCACCACAATAACAAATGGTCAGAATGCGAACTATCGTGATTATACCTAGATACCTAAATATAGATATACGTGTATGTGTGTGTGATTGCGACTGAGAGGCATGTGATCGATCGATCTAAGAAATTGACACCTAACCACTAGTTAGAGGCGCGCACGCGCTGTCTTCTTAAGGGCCGGGAGAAGTCGGCGAGAACATTAAGCAACGTCAATCCCATTATATTCGGAGCTCAGGGCCTTGGTAGAGTTCGGTTAAAATTGGCGGCGCGCACGTGCTAAAAGTTTATAAATTTCGTTTATTTTAAACTTATTTTTTAAAGTGCAACGTGCGCTCTTTTGGCAGCTATTTCTGGTTGGCATGTATGACTAAATACAGTTGGTCATTATATATTTGGATGCAGAGTTGCTGCTGTTGTTGTTGTTGTCAATTCTGATGCCGCATTGCTTCCACCTTGGCGCCAGACGTGCCCGCAAACTAAAACAAAAGACCACGGATAGCGTCAGCGTGCAAAATGGCTCACACTTTCTGTTTTGAGCCGCCGTGCTGGGCCTCTGCATTGTGAAGATTTGGATGAGCTGTGTGGTGCAACAGCTGGATAGAAGGTGCAGCTTAGGATCGCACAGCCACTTCACTTGAATGCCAACCACTTGAGCGCCCATGAGCTGATCTTTTGTTACTGTTAATCTGCGTGGTACTCGAGAGTAACGCCTCAGCTGCCTTTGACAGGCAGCAAAGTCATCTCGCAATGTTCGATGATTTCGACAAGCCGTGCACAACCTGCACGGCAAGCAAGCGCAGAGCAGGAGTCTGCATAGCCTGTCTCAAGGGTCGAAACTACAGGTTGTCATGGCCAAGGTTCTTAACGCTCGCAGGCTTTCTTTGGAACAGAAAAAATCAAGTGAAATAAAAATGAAAAAGGTAATGGCACTCTCTGTTACCCTGGGAAAGGCAGAGGATCGACTGAGAATATATGAAGCATGAATTTCACTTCATATGGCATTTTATACGCTTCATCAAATATCTTTGTGTCGAGATTCGGTTTCTTACACCTTCGCCGTTTACCTGGCGTGCTGCTTATTTCATTTTTTTTTTTCATCATTTCTTTCTTCTTCATCTCGCTGTGGCGTTGCATGGCATCTATAGTAGTAGTGGAGTGGAGAGCATTGTGAAGTGGCGTTGCTGCTGCTCTTCTTGTTGTTGTTGTCAGTTAGATGTTCCCCGATTTTGACAGATGATTTTGTACGGGCTGGGCTGTCTTGGCAACGCGACACGACCTTTTGATTGAGGTCTGCGTCTGCTGCATGCATAGACAGCTATTAATATGTTTGATTACAGACATCAATTTCAAGCGAAATGAAAAGAAAACGCTTTAGATATGAAGCTGTGGATCTTACGTGTTGGCCAAGCTATCAAAAAAGAGCAACAGGCAAATCTACACTCTAAAAAAATACATTTTCTATGTCCATTTATTTAAATGTACATATGTTTTCCCAATTAAAAAATGGTTTTTCAAAATCCGCAAGATAACTAAAAAATTGGCATCGGATTAAACAAGAAGAAACAAATATGAGGTCCAGGGAACCACGTCAGAGTTTGGGGACCGATTTTGGGCAATATTTTTTTCTGAGTGTACTAATCAGTTTCAAATCGAGACGAGCTTAAAGAAGTCGACTCGCGATGGCGCTGAAGACTGCAGTCTGCATCTTCCTAGGCCCTGACTTTATGTGTTACAAATTAAAAACAATTTTCAATTTAAATGTATTTTCATGCTCTAAAACAAAGCGCTGCACACAGACAGACAGACAGACAAAGTCGAGCTGTGCGAGACAATGCAACGCCTCTTGAGCTGCACCATGGGTCGCAAACAGTTGGCAGGCTGGCAGTTGGTTGCGCTTTTGTCTATGCAATCGCTACAGAACTCTTGTTTTATTAGCAAGAAAAGGTCAAGCCATAAATATAGGATGTGAGAGTGTGGTGTATTGCTTCTACCTGGCTCTGTGCGATGATGGTGATGTCCTCCTGCCAGGCACATGGCGCAGGCGTAAAAACCCCGATTTCTTGTGGGTCGAACAGGTGAAGATTTAGCCTCGAAGCAGCCACAGACGCAGACATAGCGCTTCTATAGAAGTCTTCGCTGAGGCCTAGTAAAGCAAGAGAAGAAGAAGAAAAACAAAAATCGTTGACAACATTTGAAAATCTGTTGCCAAAGCAGAGCCAACGCGTGTTGCCCACGCAGGCTCCAGCAAACACGCACACACACACACATACACACTGCCACAGACACAGACACATGCAAATTCAAAGGCAAGACAAGCCAAGCAAGCTGCGGCGAAGTTTTGTGCTTATAAGGCGGCTCTGCCTATACGACACCACCACCAGTAAACAGCAACACACACACACACACATGTAGCCGCTCACGTACGCTCACAGGTGAGAGAGCGCAACAGTTGAGTGCGAGAGAGCGGCAGATCGCTCATTTCTTACCTGAGCAGCAACCATTCGAATTTCGAATTCGCCGCAAAAAACGAAATGAGAAGAAAAAAATAATTTTTAAAATTTGGTATATTCAGGTGATTTGTCCGAACCACCGATGCGCTGCAATGCCCAGAATAACATAAGTCCTTTAAAGAGCAATTTAAATATGCTTAGTAATGCATTGGGTGACTAATAAATAGTTTTATAGCCAATACTGTAAATATGAAGGACTTAATAGAAGCAAAATAATCATTTAAAATCAAAGGAAACTCTTTACAAGTTTACAAAGTTTACATTTAAGTACGATAACGAAACAAATATTTACCTCAAAGAGAAAAGATTTATTAACTGTTATTATTAAAATACTTAAGAACATAAAAATGACAATATAAGAATGAAAAACATACTTTACGAAAAGGCTTTAAGAAATCAAAACACTTAGATTTTCACAAGCAAATTGTATTTCAATTAAAAAATTGATAAATAGTTATAGCATCGTCGAAGTACACAAAGTAGAAATCGGACAGCTAAAGTGGATCTGCCTAAAGAAATAAACAAAACATAAAATGTATACTTTGAACTACTTGAATTATTTTTCATTGCATTATAACTAACTGTGTAAAGATTCCTAAGTTCTTAAAATTTATCGATTAAGCTTATGAGTTTGCTCAGATGATTGTATTTGCTTTGATTTGTTATTTGGCTGGTTGTGTAGGGTATTTGCTGCAATCAAAAGACGGTCGCACTTTTTCAAAGTTTCATATTACGCTGACTTTATAAAACGGTTTTGGACGCATTTACCTGTGTGCGCCTGCCTGTCTGTCAATGTGTGTATGCGAGTGCCTGTGTGTGTGTGTGTGTGTGTGCATGTGTTGTTGTTGTTATTGCTATTGTGTTTTTAGCCCATTGTGCAGCTGCACTCCCTACAGCCTGCAGCCTGCAACCTACTGACAACAACAATGACGATGACGGCGACGGCGACGGCAACGACTACGACGACATTTCTTTGCATTGCTTTAGTTTTGTTTAGCCTGATCTGCGCTTGAGATTGCCGCTCCGCTCGCCTTTTACCATTTACCTGTATTCTTGACTTGTTCGCTCTCCATTGTGCCTAACGAGTCGCCGTGAGTTGTTGTGTTGGTGAGCGCGTTGAGGCGATTTCGTTTCGTTTCGTTTAGTTTGGTTTGGTTTTGTATTCATTTTCTTTCATCTTGCTTCGAGCATGCTTTTCTGTGCATTGCTGGCTCTCCGGCTTCAGTTTCGAACACAACGTTAGGCTGCGCAGACGCGATTCGTAACTCGTAACTCGTACCCCGATTTTTGTCCTCAGTGCGCAAATCTCGATTCGATTCGTTTCGATTCGTTCGTTCGTTCGTTCGTTCGTGCAAACATTGCCAATAATATTGTGTTAATAGAACCAGAGTTGCCCCCACACCCTCCCCTTTCTCCACTACGCAAAGAGGAGAGAAGAGAGAAGAGAAGAAGTAAATCGCAGCGTGCGAGTATTTAGCATATGGCTGTTAAAACAAGTGTCGATTATTTTGAGGTTTCATTGCTAATTGGAGGTCCAAAGCGATCATAAGTTAACAAAAGCAAACAAGGGCATCTTACATACTTACATATATACATACATATACGAGTATGTGTGTGTGTGTGCCTCGAAGATGGCAATAATAACAAATGCGCTAATGTAGTGCTGCGCCAGCGCGCCCTAACCTCAAAACTGCGCAACGGTCAAATTCGCAACTAAAAACAAAAAATACAAATAAAAAAGTGCTTATAAGCAGCAGCTAAAGCTCAAGTCAAAGCCTTCGTTGTTGTTGTGTCTGACAAACTGGCCGTAATGTGAAACTGGTTCCAACACACTCTCACACACACACACACACACCAACACGTTTGCAAATTGCAACGACAACAACAAGCACATAATATTCATAATAATAATAACCAAAGGCAACAACACGCACAGCCGTAAAAGAGTCCAATTATTCAACAACAACAAAAAAATCATAATCAACATTCTGTGCAAAATTCGAAAAGTGTTATCGTAAATCACGTCTTACACATGACGTCACTGAACATCAACCTATTTGGTTGATCTCTCCAAAATTCCAAGCGCATGCGCGCCTTGTGTGTGCGACTGTGTCCGGCTATGAGTCGCAGACGCTGAAGGCCGCTTCAGCCAAACTGCCTCCCAACACTGAAGCAAAAGAAAAATAAAAATACAAAACAACCCACACATTCACACACACCCACACACACACACAACATGCACACCTTCAAATTGGCCCAAAGGCGGGGCCAGTGCCTTTCCCTGCTACTCCTGCTTTTGGCCCACTGCATATGTGTTTGGCCCGCCACGGCGCAACGGGACCGTTATGCGCGCCAAAATGGCGGCGGCGGCGGCGGCAAACGTCATCAGGATAACGAAAGATATTTCTATCGGAATACCGGCCACAGGCAACGAACCTCGGCTGTCAGGAACAACCCGCCCCTTATCACTGCACAAGGAGCAGCCAACGAGGATAAGCACACGGAGTTCGTGAGGGGCAAGAGTAAGTGTTTCTCTCATAATCTTCATGGCCAGTACCATCGCTCTTCGTCACTTCACTTCACTCCACTAGGCAAAGGCTATAACTATTACTAAGGGTATCGCGTGATGGAGCATGTGTTTATGTAGATTTGCGTGCCCATATATCATAATCATATTCATTATCGTGAGCATGGCACTTACCTTTACCTGCGCACAGCCAAGACGTTTACCCAAAACAACAATTTCAAACCAAATACCACACATATAGCAAAGCCACATATCTAACTACATACTCGTATGTGTATTTGTGTGGCACTGGCTACAGTAGAAATTGAAGGGAGGGAACCTCACTAGCCCTACTATTCCAACATGGCTATACCTTTGGAACTATACAGTTTCCACATTATATAATTTTTCATTAGAAAACTGCATCCGTGGTCACCATTTTCAACCTACAAGTGATGCAAAACCAGGTGGTTCCCATGCATTTTGAAATCATATGACAGATAAAAAATATAGTGATGGGAGAGGAAATCGACAAATACATTTAAAATTAAAAACAAATTGGCCAATTCAAAATATATATATTTTTGCTTTATTATTTATTTATGTATTTGTTCAAATAGTGTGTTTCTAACTAAAGTCAATGGATATCTGTATAGAATATTGCATAAATGAATAGATAAATGGATGGCTCGATAGGGGTTGTGTTGATTTATAGTAAAAAATATCAGTTAGGAACTTCCTTTAAATAATTTGAGAATGTGTATTTCCACCGAAGTTTTGTTGGTGACTAGTAATCCAAATTGAAATCGATTTGAATCGATTTTTTTTAAATGGAAATCTATTCCCATTAAAACACACCATAAAGTCGTTTGATGACAGAACTCTAGCATAACTTTAACTTAAGCAACACATTTAGTGGCAGCTCTGCATAGAGCCAACTCATTCATTAGTTAAGCAAATTATATAGGGCTTGTATGCCTTTGTTATGCAAATTACGATTACAATCATAAAATTTTAGACGCGTAAAGATTTATTAAATTACAAATAACTTAATGCTATAATCTTCCACCCGATCAAATGTTTCAAAACTTTTCTTTATCCCTTCACCTTGCTATGCGAAAGTTGGGCTTCCATTGTGGCAGTTCCTTGCGAGCAATGTCTACTGTGTTGGCTATAGCTGCACAAACTTTATCTTATCGTTGGTGACGTACGTGTGTTTGCTTTGTTTTTTGTTGTTCTTGTATTTGGTTTGACTGCACCGTGAATATATGGTTGCTTGCTTTGATAATGCTCTTATTTTGGACTCTGGCAGGTTGCATTTATGTATTTATGTATACCTGGCCGAGACGGCCCGGCCGGCCTCACCTCTGACTTGGTCGTAGTCTGCTCGGTGCTATATGTGTCATGAGCTATCACCCGCGGGCTATCGCTCAGATATGCAACGCAACCGCTTGCCAGCCGAAACGGCAGCTAAGCACTTGAGCAAATAAAACCAAGAGAGATTGTTACAATCGAACAAGTCAGACAGCGCAATACCCTTTCTCCCAAAAAACGAACAGCATAGCAGATGAAAGGCTTAGTTTGTGTAGCGTTTAAGTTGTGGATAGTAATGATGATATCTGTAGCATTGGAGGGTGTACAAACTAAAAAGCCTCACCTAGGGACTATTGGAATCTGCATCACTTTTTTGGTAAATGCATGCTATTTCCGAAACTTAGGCGGATGCATGCAGGGATGAAGGGAAGGACAAGTCTAGATCGATTTGTATAGTCATTTTGACTGAAATATACACATAAGTATATATATACGAATGGGGTATTATGTCGGAGTTGCTTCCTTCGGCATCTTCTGTTACGTACTTAGCACAACACCCAATAGACCCTTGTGTACAGGGCATAAAAGTAAACTTTGGGACCTGCTTGATGTTACAAGTACCCGTACCCGGGCATGACAGGCACGAGATTCAGAATTCGTTATGCTACGCATTCGATTTCGTAACGGCTGTCCAGTTTGTTGCTCATACGCTGCGTTGGCGTTGGCGTTGACGCTGTTGCTATTGTTAATGCTACATACAATATTTCAATCTGGATCTGTATCTGCATATGTATTTGCAACTGAATCTGGTCTGGTCTGGTCTGGACGGGTCTTTATTTGTACATTTGTTTTCTTTTCTTTCTTTTTATTTTTTACTTTTGCGCGCTTTTCTCTTTGTCAGCAAACCACTTGCGAGCTGTGAGCATTTGGTTTGTTTCGTAGACTCGGATGCATTTCTGGTTCTTTGTTTTCATTTCATTTTACGTGCCAGTGGTCAGCGCAACAACAATACTATAATAGCAACAACAACAAGTGCCCTGTTGTCGACACAATTTCCAGTTAAAATGGCGACGCTGAATTGCAAATATCAGTATCATACTATAGTATATGTCTGAACACATATGTATTTGCTTAGCGGTCGCCGAAAAGCGCTAAATTAATGAGAATATGCATACATATAGTATATATAAATGTTTGCAGATATTTGTAAGTATGTACAAGTATGTATGTAGGAGAAGCAATATAAATTAATATTGGTACAATCTTGTGTTTGTGCTTGTGCGCATGTGGTCGCACAGTATTATTGTGCAAATATTTGTGTTTGCGCGTAAATAAAAGGTTTTGTTTGCCAGCCTCATTCCCGCGTTTCTCCATTCACTCGTTGTCGATATTCAGTGATCTTGTGAGGCAACTCCCCCTCCTCCTCCGCCCCCAAACCAACCGCTTTTTGTCCACTGAAAAAATTAATAAATATGCCAGCGCGCACAATTGTGCAAATATTTAAATAGCAACGAAACTCTGCTAGGCAAATTGCATAAAATACTTGGTAGCTATAAAATTTCCTGTACCGGATATCACTAGATAAGAGCTCCCCTACATGCCTTTTCTATTGGGAAACTTTGCGGCAATTGGCAAGCACATTTTCATTTCCCACAAGCACGACATTAAATAGTTATTCCTATTATTGGCATATATACATATATATACATATATGAACATACTTCCCGACTTATGCCACTTCTTTGCGAAGGGTTTCCCACCTTGTTTGGGCTCTGTAATGGGGTGCCAGTAAACAAGCACAGCTGCGGGCAAATGGCGCGCTAAATGTCTACGAATAAATATTTTAATATATCCGAGAATTGTTCGTGTTTATTATTGACGCAGCTGTTCTCCTCTTTACAATGCAAATTATCTTGAAATAATGAATTGCTTTTCAACGTATAGTTTTGTTGTATTTTTCCGTTGAACTGCAGTCGAAATATTTGTTAAGACAGAATATCGACGAAATAATTGTACAAAAGCTTGCTCACAGGATAATTATTTGATAAAGAAATTAAATTATTGGTCGCAGAATTAATTTTGTTTATTTTTAAGTTTCTTTTCTTCATTTTCAAAGTGATATTTGAATTGCAACCATTATCTAACGCGGAGCTTATTGAATATTCAGGTCTCGTATAAACTTGTAGTTGGTTGCTGAAAATAATAATAGTTGCATTCATTTTTTTAAGTATTTTAAGCAATCTTGTGATTGCTGGAACTGTTTATTTGACGAAAGGAAATGGAATTATAGATTATTCAACAAACTCATCCAATCCCCATTACATAAATCGTATAACATAAGATCTAATATGGACATGTCCTGGTTGACCCACATTGAAATAATCTTTCCAATATATTAATGCTATAATAATATAGTAAGATCTGAGAGATTATTTAAGCTTCTAATGTGAATTACCTCATACGTATTTAATTAACCAGTCTTGCTGGGACTGTGCTGCTACTTTTAATAACAAGATTTGAACGTATATAGCCAGAGGTCCTAGCACTTCACGCTAATTAAATTAAAATAATTAATTTAGACAGCCATTTAACTATTCTCCATACATGTTTGGTTACTCATCATTTTGTTGGTTTTAAATGTTTAATGCTAGACTTGGATGATTTAAGGCGCTGCAAATGTTTACATCTGAGATTCTCAACTTTTTATGTATACATATATGCATGCCTATGGGCTTCTACGTCGACAAGTGTGTGTGTGTGAGTGTGTCTGTGTGCGTGCCAGCGCTTGAAAAACCACATTCCATAGTGCGCTTTACAGCGGTGGCCGATTGGCCAAACCGTCAGGCACGCAGCCATCGAGCCCCAGCATCCCGAGCCACACAAAATGTTGTAAGCTTGGCTGGCTGGCTAATTACAGCGTCAGGCACGCGCTGTGGCTATACGCTATGTCTGTGTGTGTGTGTGTGTGCTTGTATGTATGCCTGTGTGATTGGGCTTGTACTATACTGTCCATTTTTATAGCGTTGTTTGCATATCATTTTAAGTTAATTTCTGGGAAATTAATCAATATGCATTTGTAGGTTCGGACTAAGTCTCGATATTCGGAGAAAAACTGCAATTTGCGATTGCAACTTTGAGCTGCAGTTGAACTTTAAAACCTCAAATGGTTGTTGTTGTTGTCTTTGCTGCCACTTCTACATAGTATATGTATGTATGTTGTTGTTGTTGTAATGCTGCATTTACTTTCAGCAACAACATGCATACGATATTAAAATACTGGTTTTCTAAAACTAGCAAGCACACACAGTTAAGTACAAATATCGTGAGAGTGACAGACAGAGAGAGCGAGAGATCGAGAGAGTGATAAGGAGGGGTGAGTGTGTTGAGAGAGAGGGAGAGAGAAGCTGCGCCCATGCGTGCTTGTTGTTGCTGCTAAAGACAAACGTACCCGGCTGGCTGGCTGGCTGACTGACTGCTTTATGGCTATAGTTGTTTAGCTTGATTGTTTTTAAACACTAGCACACGCACACACACACACACATATATATATAGTTATACATACATACACATACAGATATATTTTTTTGTTACTTTACGACACTTTTTCTTTGCAACTGCTGCTGCCTTTATAATGTTGGCCTGAACTTTAGGTGTCAGGTTTTGCCAATGTTCGTCAAGTTATTAAAACTGCACAATTCTGCA